TATTAAGCCTCACCTACATATGGTTCAAGGACCATTACAGAAGAGGCAGAAAGACTGTAAGAGCCAGGGTTGGTGCATGAACATAAGGAAATAGAGGCTTTCAGGCCTCTGGGAACTTGCTCATATGAACTTGTGTGTGTCAGAATGCACAAGACCCATGCTGACCCAATCAGACAAAAATCTAGCATAGAACTAGGGAAGTGGGCAGCAGGCCCCAACCTTTCCTGAAAACTATTGGCAGTTGATTACTATGAGGTGAAGGAGAGTATATCTTCTTTAATGGAGTGACTCCAGATAGGCCGACTAGACTCCAGTGGATGAACCTGCACTGAGGGACATCTGGGTACAAATGCTTGACCAGATAGGACTTAACATATATGACAGAGTGCATGAAACCCAGTGGGGAGGGTTATGGGGGGCATAGGTGGCAGGGGGGGGTCTAAATTTGATTAAGATCTATTATATGAGATGCATAAAATGCAATTTAAAAAAAAAACAAGTACACACCACCAACAGGGTGAGCTTGTTTTTTTGCATGCATTCTGGGGCAATTTTCTGTCTGAGCCCTCCGACTCATTTCTTAATCAGGTGTACTTTGCATTGTGGGGTTCACATAGAAACATAGGGAAAAACTAGAAGTTAGTGGAAAATGAACCACATAGGACAGTACTTTAGTAACTGAAACCATAAGCCTGTCACTACCAGCAGTAACTGTCACTACCAGCTATCACCAGCAAGGTGTCAACCCACTGAATAAATTTTAATAAATTGAGGAAAAATGGATTACCTTTAGTGTTTATTTTAAAAGTTTCTTCTGAGCTCAAGAAGATTAGAGGTGGGGTTTATTTCCTTCTATGGCCTGCAAACCTATATGTAACTAGAACTGTGGTACTGCACCACACATTTATAGTAAAGGACAATTCTTGGTTTTTCAGAAGATCAGCATGTATTGTAACTACAAATGCATATCAAAAGAAGATGAGCCTGGCAGTTATGCTCCAGTGAAGAATTTTGGTCATTATAAGCTACACTGGGACAATTGCTGCTGAATATACGTCTTCTCATTGTGATTCTTTGGAATATGGATAACGGTCTCTTTCTTGCATCCTGCTGCCTCTTCCCTGCCATGTTCCAACTTTCCACCCCTTTTTCCTACCCCGGCCAAAGCATGCACCTGCTGACCTTTGTTTCAATGCATTTAGAGGAGAGTGGAGAACAGATCAGGAGTAAGACAGGAGAGAAAGAGAATTGTGTGTGTGAGAATGGATGATGTTACTTGAGTGTCTCAAAGTGTTTAAGTGAAAAACTAACTCTAGGACAGGGATAGCTGTTGGTTTTCAATGGGGGGGGAGCACCTGGAGGAGATCCAGGAATACACGTTTGGTGATAAGGGAAGGGCGGTATTCATTTGTTCAGTCTACAGAACCTTGCCAAATATCTACTATGGTAAGGCCTTATGCTAAGTAAGAGATATTTGGAAAATGAAAGATATGAAGAGTTATTTCATAGGCATTATGGGAAATTGATAGGGTGGAAAACCTTAATTTTGAAACTAGAACTAAAAGGATCCATAGACATAATAAATATTTATTCTGTTCTATTTTTCCCTTGAAATATAAATGTATATGAAAAATATCCACATGGTATATAGGCGCTTCACAATACTTTTTCTTTTGAAGTCATTTACTTTAAGTCTTGAACGACTGTGTAAGGTTTGTCCCTTTCTCACATTTAAATATTGGTGTTCATGTGATTTGGCCTAGGCTTTCATTTTCTCTCACTCTCTGTACATCTTAGTTCTTGTTATTCTTGGGACTGTTAGCATCAATCCTATGCAGCAGGCACCAGATCCAGTGACAGCCAATTGTGTATGTCCACTTCAAGCCCCTTCTGAGCTCCAGACTCATGATCTCCACACACAAGCATACCCCACACCTGCCATCACTGCCCCTGGGCACTTGAAAAGCCAAGTAACTAAAACAATCCACTTTGTCTCTCATTAATGAGTACAACCATCCATGAAGTGGCCTAGGTAAGCAGACCAAGGGCATTCTTAATACCCGCTCACTCCCCAATGGCTAACACAGATTTTTGCTTTTGTTATATACTAACATATATCATACAGTCACCAGGTACCTCACGCTGGCTGCTGTCACCTCATCCTGAAGGGCATCATCTCTTGGCAAGATTCCCACAAATACTCACTAAATTTGTCCCTGACTAATGTTCTCATTACACATTGACAAACTATCATATGTTTCTTTAATACTATTTTTCATTATAAACACTCATTTATTGGTCTTTCCATGAATTTTGGTACTAAGGGCAAGAAGATACCTAGTAGCTAACAGTGCTGTACACAATACTACTGTACAATCAATATTTGTTCAATGAGTAGAGTATCAGTTATTTATAGATACTGGAAGATTTAAGGACATGTAAGTCATCCTAGCCCTTAGGAGAATATTAAATACAGATTATCTGTTATGCATAATTATAAGATGATAATGAGCAAATAAAATTCATTCCAATTTGGATACATAAGGATTTGCTAATATTGTAAGTTGTTATTAAATATTTCATTCTTCCTTCTTGGATAATCTAATCCAGTCTAAACACTTCTGAGAGACAATCATATGATTTCATAGCATAGATGAAAAAATAGGCATAACAAAGTTAGTTACCCAAGTTACCCAAGGTTACGCAGTGACTCAGAAGCAGAGCCAGGATTTAAAACTCAAAGTTCTTGACTTCCAAACTTTAGTGTCACCGTTATTTTAGAAAGTGTTTTCTCCCCCCCATCGCTCTCTCTCTTCTTTCTTTCTTTCTTTCTTTCTTTCTTTCTTTCTTTCTTTCTTTCTTTCTTTCTTCCTTCCTTCCTTCCTTCCTTCCTTCCTTCCTTCCTTCCTTCCTTTCTTTCTTCCTTCCTTCCTTTCTTTCTTTCGGTCTTTCTGAGACAGGGTCTCCCTGTCTCACTATGTAGATCAGTCTGGCATCAATCTCACAGAGATTCCTCTGCCTCCCAAGTGCTGGGACTAAAAATGTGTGCCACAATGACCAGCTGGAAAGTACTTCTTAACAAAGTCCTATTGTGTTAAGAATTTAACTGACAGGGGCTGAAGAGATGGCTCAGTAGTTAAGAATACTAGCTGTTCATCTATAGGATTAGAGTTCAGTTCCCAGGACCCACATGGTGACAAACAACGGTCCAAAAATCCAGTTCTAGGGGATCCAGCATCATCTTCTGACCTATGTGGGCATTGCATGATATAGGTGTAACTACATACAAGCAGGCAAAACACTCATATTCATAAAACAAACAAACAAATAATTCAACTGAAATACTTCAATGGTCTTTTCTAAGCTCTCATCTATGGTATTTGCATTTGAATATAGTAGCTCATGGATATATCTATTTTCTATGGAGTTTTCTGTATTCTTTAATGGTAAGGTCTTTCTGTGAACTACCTCTGAACTCTTATCACTTTAAGAAGTGTCAGCTTCCTCTATTCTTAATAAACGGACATATCAGACATTGATCACCACTAAAAGTGGTGCCAATGTTTAACTTTTCCATTAGAAGACATCGTACTATACATTAGACATCTACAAATGCCAACAGCTAGTTGCCTGGTTCATTTTTTTGCACTGGGTGGACATTTTGGTAAAAGTAGTGCTGATAATCAATAAACATTTGAGAAGCCATATAGGCTATTACATCTAATGAGATTAGTGGTTCCAAGAGTCATATCATAAGAGGAATAAACTATCTGCACTACTATTTTCAAAAGCTAGATATGTATTCAATAATATATTTACACATGATGTTCCAGGACCAGTGGTAATCATAACCCAATGCTTTCAATAGTAAGAACTGCTGATATTAATTTCACAGAGATTAGCAGGACGTGTATATACTTGAAAGTTTTTTCTGCCTTACACATAAACAACTAGTGCTCCCTTTTTATATTTGAATATGGTGAAAAAGCTAAAAGAATTGAATCTGTATAAGACTGTCGCTAACATACATCAAACTACATACCTAGGATTATACTTCCTTAGCATTTTCAGATAAATTCTATAATTTTTTCTTAATGAATATACCATCAAATAGAAGAAAATCCAATGAGAAACAAATTCCCTGGCTTATGGTGAACAGTTTGAACCACTTCTCACTCACCAGAGACATCATCTTTACCCCCTAGAGCACTCAAGTTAGCTCATTATTTCATCCTTCAAGTCTTACCTTACTGTAAGGCCCACAAAGATCTCTAAATGCCCAAAGTATTTACTGTTCTTAATCTCCAACAAGACATTAGGTGAATTGGTTCTGTCATGTGAGCAGAACTGATTATGTTTGTCCTAATAAAGACAGACAGTTGAGTTACCCATTCGTAAGTTAGCTCTGGGTAAATAGAAGAGGTGACTTCTGTCAGATGCCAACTGAACATCAATTGCTTATACCATGGAAATGTCAATTAGAATTCTAACAGAATATTTCAAACATAATTTTCTAGTCCAAGAAATATGCACAAACCTGTGATAAACTGAGACTATACAAAGTAAATCCTAAATTCCATGGATGTGTTAACATTCCTAGTTAGTCACTGGCAGATGGTACCCAAGAAGTAACAACATGTTTAGCTTTCACATGAAAATGCCCATTCTATAAATTTATCCTACTCATCAGCCTTGCTTTATTGGGAGGATGTTGTCTTCATTTCTAAATGCTGAGGTTCTCATTATACTACACCAAGGCAAACAAATTCTTTCAAGAGTAGCCTAGGGGCTAAGCTTGCCTCCTGCTTTGGATGATAAATGCTGTCTCAGACAGCTAAGGAGAGCAAATTCAAACTTCAGTGTTAACATTTTCACATGGTACTTGTCACCTCATGTGCTGCAGCAGTCTGGATATGGTAAGAAGAAAAGATATCCAATCAGAAAAACAAATATTTTTATCACAATGATACTTGCTTGCCCTATATGAGAACTGACTTTACCTGTAGAGTTTCCATTTCTTCATCTTTTCTTTGGGTCTCTTCTAGTAGACCTACAATAAGAAAGTAAATGCTTATGAAAATGCAATGGAAAAATGGGTTGCTCCTTAAACGCAATTCACTCAGTAGCTTATATAAACTGCTACGTGGAAAGAGAACTTGAGATTGAGGTATGAGAAAGAGATTGAAGTGTGAGTGTAAGAGAAACGCATTTGGCTCCTACCTGAGCTATGCTAGGACCCTCACCCCATCAGGTCTAAGCCAGATGAGAAACCCTCAGCTTCGTAGGAGATGAACGGAGTCAAATCAACTACAAATCCAAAAATACACCAAGATTTGAGGCATTTGGACCAATGATTGTATAATCCACAAGTAACACCAAATTCCTTTTAACATAAAGGAAAGCTGCCTTTAAAGAAAAAAGTTAGAAGCAAACCATTTGCTCTTATAAGTTCCCAAGCCAAGTTCCACCCCCAGAGTCAATTTTTATAACCAAATTAAGGCACTCCACAATAACGAGTATATTAATAGAAGTAAAGCACTGCCTTAACTGTAAAGTCATATTGTTAATAATTGTCTTTTTTCTTTCTGAGTGAGTGGGATGTATTACAGCTATAGCTGACCAAGGGTTTGGCACAGTCTCAGAGAACTGAGTGGCTAGAAGGGAAAACAGCACACTGAAGAGAGATGTATCTTAATGTATGCAAACAGCTGTAATGTCTCCGTGACCTACATTAATTTATGTACTTGCTATAAAAGAAAATAGATTTGGCAAGCAGAATTTTCTGCCTCCAGCGATACTACCTTCTGCAATGATCTTATTAGATCTCATAAACCTAAAGAAGGCTGGGCTGAGTCAGAACTTGGATGAAAATTGGCAAGAATTACCTACAGCAGTGCACACTAGAAATAGCATATGCATTACTTGTGATTGATTTAGCTTACTAAGAGGCTATGCTACGTAAAAGCAAACTATAACTTACAGCAATCCAATATACATACCAGAGAGGCAAATGTCTTCAGCAAGTGCTAAACTAGATGCAGTAGGAGGAATCAAAATAACGGGAGCAAGTCATGTTGGTATATGTGCTGTCTGGGCAGGTATTGCCCTAAAGTGTAGATCTGGCTGATGATAATTAATGGCCTTTGAGACTATGCACTCAGAGGGCTACACAGATGGAACGTGATCCCAAGAAGACACAGGTGCTGCACTTGAGAATAACAGGCAGTTTCTGCATCTTTTAAAGGAACAGACTTAGAGGCCCATAATCAAATCAACAACAAAGAAGCACACTGTTGTTTTGTTTTGAACTATTTTATTTATTATTTTATGTGCGGCCTGCCTGTAGGTAGGTGAACCCATGTTACGCAATGCTCATGGACTTTAGAAGAGGACATTGGGTCCCCTGGAACTGGTGTTACGGCCAATTGTCAGTCACCATGTGGGTGCTGGAAATTGAACCTGGGTCCTCTGTCAGAGCAGCCAGTGCTGTTAACCACTGAGTTATCTCTCCAGCCTCTGTTTTGGGGTTTTTATAGGAAGATTTTTTAATCAGCATATCGAGCTCTTCAGCAACAAGGTGCAGAAACAAAGTTGGGGTATGCTAGCTTGGCCAGTGTCCTCAGCTACTCCATTTCCTTCCACTTTCCCCACTTGCACTAGGACCTACTTCCTGCATCTGGACTGACCCTTTGACTTGATTTCAAAGAAACACTGTCCTGTCCTGCACTGAAGATTCAAGAGCTCTTGAACATTTGCACTTCTTCCCATGAAACTGTCTTTATCATATGAATGAGCCCAGGCAAACGGCTAATGACAATGGCCCAGGACTCTTCGGACTCCTGACACCCTGAAGGTTGCCCCATTAGGCAGCCAGCAAAGGCCCAGAGGCAGAGTTGCCCAGCTGATTTGAAGCTGGCTACAGATGATTCAGACTGTAGTTCAATGGAGAGCAGACACTGACCAGCTAAACCTAGCGCCACTCCAACTCAGAGAATCAGGAACTTAAGAAAAAAGAATTGTGGATTGCTTGGTACTGAGAACTTGCTAGCTGACAGCAACCAGTTGCTAATGGAGAAATAAGAATTTAAAATTTATTAAAGGATGTAGGAGTACTTAACAGGTACCTGGGAAAAGAGGATCTAGACTCAAAAGACAACATCTAGAGCACGCCTGGATGTACAGAGATGCAGGTACCACTAAGTTCGCTTTACACAGAGGACCTGAGTCTAACATTTGTGTCACACCACTTGAAATGAAATTCTGGGATAGCAGGATTAGACATCTTGCCTACTACTTCCTAGGGCACAGTATAGATTAGTTTCCTTGATAACCCAAAAAGATCGGGGCTAAAAACAGGAGTTTCCATATGAAAATTGGGGTTTTCAAAATTGGAGGCAGAAAGGCTGAACACCAGACAGCAGTGCCCACCCCACCTCATTCCACAAAAGACACATGCCATGTTCAACTGGTTCAGGAAATTGTGTCTTTAGCCCAATGGTCATCAGCATTTGTGAGACATATATGGTCAGTCCTCTGTTCCTATGAGCATGTGGTCATTTTGCTTTTCTACTTCTTGGCAAAAAGAAGTTCTCAGAAGTGGATTCCTCTCAAGGAACTACAGTGTTTGATGCTGTATTGGATCTAGAGAACGTGCAGTAGAGTCCATCAGCTAGAAAAGAAAACCAATCATCAGTCGAGCCGGTAAACACCAAACTTCTCATGTACAACTTAGTGGACAGCAAATATTGGACTGCTTACGAAGCCAAATATAACTTACTTATCTAATAAAATACAGACAGAAAGGAGGTATTGGATAGGTGTATTCTCCGAAAGAACCAGTAACAGCTGAATGCCTGAACCCTAAGAGACTCTGTAGACAGAGGGAGAGACAGTTACCCCTCCCTCCCAATTGGTCAGCTTCAATTGCATGAGGGGGCAGGTCTAAGGACAGACATAGAGGAAGCTGAGGGGATGGAGGAAGTCACCAACTTGGCGGGTGCTTGGGTGAGCGTAGATCTTGAAAGCTCAGCCAAGGTCTTTGTAAGTGAACCCCTCTTGGATAGCATAAGCTTTGTTGGCAAGCCCAAATGAATATCTTTATTCCCAAAACTATAGCTGAGAGGGACATTGTGTCAGTTTTATTGGTTGGTTGTAAAGACAGCATGGGGTCTGGGAGCCATGAGGTCCTGAGAGTGAGAGAGAACCCATGCACAGGCCCTGGGACCGCCCCCCAGGAGAAAATTTGTCTTACAGAAGTTTAGTTTACCTTTCTTTCCCTTTGAAGACCTCCTGGTCTGTTCTGTTAAGGGGCTAAATTAGCCTGTCCTGCCACAAAAGTAGATAATGATCCAGGCTGGTAAAAAAGAGCACCTAGTGTTTCCAAGGCTGCATTTCCCACTGTGCTGAAGGAATTTGTTAATGACAAGGCCACCAAGAAGAAAGCAGAGCTCAAAACACAGAAAGGACTGATGGACCATCTTTGAGCAAAGCCTACAGAATTGCAATGCCAATCTATTTTGTTGCTGGTTTTTTTTTTTATTTTGTTCAAATTTGTTTTAATATTTATTTTTTAGTCTCTAGGGATATGGTTGTATTAAACCCTGTATCTACTCAGAAACCTGGAACACTTAAGAGTTGGGAAGAATGTTCTATCCCACACTGACATAATGATTTCTATAATAAACACATGAAGACATGAGACACAAAGAAAGCAAATGGGCTGCTTGATATAACCTAGCTAAAGCCAAATCTAGAAATTTGCTCTCTTATATCATAGTCTATCTAACATAGCATGCACTCACTTGACCCACTTAGTTCTTAATTTATCTTTCTGCTACATACTTTAAAAAGCACAACATGTTTGCAGTCCTCTGACTTGCTTTAGGAATCTTCTGATATCAAAATCTGGGGCCTCCACATCTCTCTAAAAAAGTACCTCCCAATCTTTGATAATTAACTTTAAAATTCCCAAATTGCAATCTCTATCTATAGCAACTGTTCACTGTTAGGTGCCATGGTAGTTTTAATGAGAAATAGCCCCAATAGGCTCAAGTATTTGAACACATTGTTCCCCAGTTGGTGGTGCTAGTGCTGTTTGGGGAGGTCATAGACTCTTTAGGAGTACTGTTGCTGAAGGAAGCTTGTCACTGGGGTGGGCTGTGAGAGCCCACTTCCTACTTCCCCACTTCCTACTTCCAGTTCTCTCTCTCTCTCTTTTTCTCCCTCCCTCCTTCCCTGCCTCCCTCCCTCCCCCTCCCCCGACACCTGTGCTTTATGTTTGTTGTTAAAGATGTCATCTATCAGCCTTTAGCTCTTGCTGCCATGCCTTCTGTTTGCTGTCATGCCTCTCTGCCATGATTCCTAGTCCTCTGGAACCAGGAGCCAAAATAAACTCTTCCTTTAATAAGTTGCCTTGGTCATGGTATTTTATAACACCAACAGAAAAGTAACTAATAGAGGCACATTGTTCAAATACCTGTGCTTGGAATGAAGAATGGGATTGTGAACCGGTGCTGGTGAACGCAACTGAGCATGGCTGGGAAGCAATGCTCTCCTGTAAACAGAAGTAAGCCAAGGGAACAAAGTGAGACCTGCAGAGAGGTAAAAAAACACAATGTGCCACAACTAAGTGTGGCTACTGGCTCTCATCATAATGAGCAATCTTGCTTCTTGTTTTAATAAACCTCAGAACAAATGATCAAGATGGAACAAGCTGAAGGACTGCTCTCTTGTTCACCGCTGCCTGTTCACATTCCCGCTGCCTGTTCACATTCTCCTTACAAACAGCTGCTACCTGTTTCACTAAATCTTTCATTAACTATTGTCATAGAAGCATGTTGATGGCAGTTGAACTGCTGAAGCGAACTCATGAAATGTAGTCATTGGAGAAGGAAAATTTTCATACAGAAAAGCAGGAATCACAGACAGGAACTGAAGAACCTAGGTTTGTGTATTCCACTTTGTGTTCTGGTGACACAGTTAACGCACTGGACCATGACAACAGCTGTGTTAATATGCTTTTGTGCTGCTTCCTTTGCAGCTTTTGTAACC